CAGCATTACCTATTAAGAATCGAAATGTGTTACAGAGAGTAATAGTGTCAATGAGCTCGCCAGACAAGGCACGCAGCCTCACCAAAAGCGCTACTGATCTCATATCGATGAGGGCCAAGTGCTCAAAGTGGCGAGACCTCGTGATAACCAAATGAAACGTCAGGGGTGACGGTTGGCACGAAAGGGGCAAGTTTTAATATAAGCTGACCTTTGACGCCCAGCACTGTATGCGTCCGCTTTCATTGAACGACTGATGCAGATTGTCCACACAAATCATGCCGTGCAGGGTAACCAGACCCTCAATCAAGTATTATTCCGTACGTAATGACTGAGGGATGTCCGTGAATGAAAGTAACGTGAAACAAAAGTATCCGTGGAGATCACTGAATCTGGAGTAGGTGGAGAACCTAAAGAGGATGACCGACGAGGTTTGAAGATCAGGACAACGATTAACCCAAAAATGATCAATAGGAGAAGGAAAATAAGTTTCCGACGGCCCGTATTCTTCTGGTATCTGTAAGAGAGGTGTTAGGGCGCTACGATGACTACGGGTATATATGGTTCACCGTGTTGCATGGTTTAACTCTTTCACAGCTTCGGCCATTTCTACCGAAGTCTGTTCGATGTTGTATTCAATACTGTCAAGAAGGGTCCCTTGATCTATCACAAGGACGGACAAATCCTTGAATAATTCGGCTAGAGAAGCTATTGAGTTTGCAATTTCTGTCAGCTCCCGGTCGCGGGAACGGAGATCATGATCCTGCGTGTTATCTAGAATCTGAGCTTGCTGCAGGGGGGAATAACAATTTAGCTATACAGGAGACATGCTCGTTGATCGTTGCTCACCGCAGCTTCTACGTCTTCATCAACAGCAGTCAAGCCCTCGGATCCTCTTGAGGAAATAGTCCCAGACGCAATCAGGAGATCTTGATTCTTAATCGCGTGCCCTTGCAGACCTGATGAAGGCGAAAATGCGGTCATAGAAATGATCGGTTCGCGTAAACATGATGGGGAAGAAGACTTACGTTCCATATAGACACGCTGTTTCTTGCGGAAGGTTGAGCTGAGTTCTTGGACCCTCACGGCTAAGCCTCGTTGCACATTTTTAGCCGCGAGGACTTCAAACTGAGTTTTCTGAGTTGAAGGGGGAAATGAGTGGTCCTGTTCAGTACCGATACGTTGAATTAAAGTGTGGCATCGTCGAAAATCCTATCCACGAGGGGAAAGAAAGGGACGAATGTAAGACACGAGGAAGTCCATGGAGGATGGATGTACTTTGGTTATTTCGGTGGTCGCCGCTTCGATTTCTCGCTCCTCTGCCGTCCGGTCCGCGAAGCCGGGGAGAACATGTTTTGCATGAAGCTTCTCTAGAGCGACGACTAAGGTAAAAAGGACGGAGATGATGTCATTGAAGCCGCAAAGAGACTATACCAGGAACACACTTTTAACTTGTGTTCCGCCCAAGATCTCTTCGACTTGGTCGGAAAGATCAACCCTTTGTTCAAATTGAGTAAAGGTAGTCTGATATACGAAATGAAACGTACCATTTGGGAGGCAACTGCGAGTCAAGTGCGGAGCCAGGATGTATGAGTGTTTCATTTTCATCATATGGATCATCTGAATAGGATGAGTGTAAACGAGAGAAACGTGTTGAGGGTGCTCTTGAATCACGAAATGAGATAAAGAGCAGGGTTCTCGAGCGCGTCGCTGGCGATGACGACGAGCCTGCGGTGGACATCCCAGAGTAAGTTGTGTATGGGGTTGTTTGTACTAATATTTCATGTACAAATATACAATAATAAAGCTGTCCGGCTAAAGAGATGGTCCGAGATGGGTGTTTTGGGTCGGAAACCGGAATAATAATTCCGTGGAGCTCTTACACTTGCATTTACCATCAAATCACGCCTCCGCTTGCTTCCCGCAGGCCGGCTTCTTTATTCTCGTTACCACATCGTGCCCGATCGCCCAAATGGTCTTGTGATTGCTCCTCCCTGTCATCGGTTACAACTCGATCCCAATATTCAAAATCTTATAAAGTTCCCCATTCATATCCTTTGATCCCCCATTCTTCTACTCCACTGGTCTTTAGCCCCCCGTAGTTACCTACCCCACATCGGTATGCTGTTCCGTCCTCCATTTTTAATTCCCCAGAATAATAATAATACCTCACACGTAGGAAAACATTTCACCGGTGTCCCTTTCAACCATCCCGTCATTCAAAATGTGCAATCTCGAAACGTACGTGTCAAGTCTAGGCCTTGGAAAGAACATTTGCTGATTCAGACCCTTTTTTTAGCGAAGGAACAAAATTTGGATGTGGGGTAAGTGTCTCACGCCATCGAGAACTTACATTTCTCAAATCATGCTTCTTTAGCATTACAAGGTGGTGCGTGATCAATGTCTTTTTACTATTAGAACTATTTTTGACCTTCTTTCAGACGCGCAAACTGAAGAAGATCGATTGCTACAACCAGTATTGCATCCACTCCGTATATCATCCCAGGAATTGTCCTGATTGCCATTGCGAACGTGTAAGTATCACTCCGCACTCAACCTCATACCCCAGTGCTCACTCGTACACCAAGTACTTCGGTCCCGACGCAAGAGAAACAATCACCCACAGAACAGCCGATTACTGTGTTTCATGTCAGTACTGGTTCAAGGACGGAGCTTCCCAGCGTCGTTAACCTTGATGGTTTCGACGGCCCCGGTGGCTTCTTCGCTAAATCTATCGAGAAAGCATATATAATGCCGTTTTATTCTATTAATTATCACTCTACTCACGCCTTGCTTTGCACACCACTTTGCTGTGTCATTTTGTAGTTCTAGGCTTACTTGTCGCATATTTTACTTACGCATTATTTATCTAGTCACTGTCACATTGTCTTGTCTTGTAATACCACCCAGAGTGAAACGACACACACGTGTATCACCATTTCACAGCAAGTCCGACTACCTCGCTTTCAACAGCCCGATACTGAGTCCGAAACAGTTCACGGCGTCGTGTCTCTGCTTCTTCGTCCATGATGGAACCCCAACTTCCGCCCAGGCTTCCGTCTGTGGGGTAACAAAGATCCGTCTTGACCTGAGCCGCAAGACGGTCTCCGCAAACGAATGGGGTTTCAAAATCCCGATCATGACGTCCCGGTGATGGAGGCGGTGTAGGCAAGTCATGCCAATATACCCTTTCAACTTCCTTCGTCCATTCTCTGTTTCCCCATTTGGCCCCTTGCATCGCACTATCTTCCCCTGGTACTGGCATCTGGACACCGCTCTCCTCCCAGGTCCTCGTAAAGCCTTCTTCATCCTCTTTCTGCCCTGCCGCCTGTGCAATGGGTTTCAACTGTCCACCACCATTGACGCACCCGCCCGGACACGCCATCACTTCGACATAATCATACCCCTTCTCGTCCTCTCCACCACGCTTCTTTGCACGCATCCCAACCAACCTTCCAGCGGCACCCCTCCCAACTTGCACGCCAGCCTCACGACCTACCTTACGTACGACATTCTGTAGGTTACGGAAACCATAGCATTTTGCGCCTTTAAAAAGCACCTCGCCGGTGTCCCGGGCGCGAAGAGTGAATTCTTCGTAATCAGATGTACGGATGGATTTTATGGTAAGGTCCACAGGGGACGTGTGGCTTGCGGTGATAGAATTGATGAGAGAGTGCAAGTAAGATCCGGAGCTAGTCCCAGGGTGTGACACGAGTTCTGGGATTTCAGTGTCGACATCAGGGATACCTTCGTTCTCTACTGTCTGTGAAAGATCCCAGCCTTTGTCGCGCATCATAAGTTCGAGCTCTCCAGTCGTGATTACGCAGTCTACATCCCGAGTCGAATACAAGTCATTGTAGAAGTCCTGCCGAGAAGCCTCTAGCTTCTTGTCATAGCACGGCATAACTGACACATGGTAAATCTGATCTGGTCTATCACCCAAGGCAATCAACACAATGGAATCGAAGCGACTAACGAGACTTACTGCACTCCCCAACGTTTTCCGAACCATGACTTGACCAGAGTCCCCATCACCTGTTGGGGACTCTTCGTCCTAGCGATAAAAGGTAGCATTTCGGAGTGTGCTTTCTCAGCATAACATATCCATCCCGGACAGGCACTCGCTAGCATCGGAAGTTTCCCGTTTCCCTTCTTCCGCTCGAAAAATTCTTGCGTGTGCTCGAGCAAAGCAATATGTCGAGCAAACGTGATGTCGTAAACATGCTCGAACCCAAGTATTCGTGTAGAGAATGCTCGTACTCTCCTTAGTATTTGACGGAGGCTTACAGGGGAACCGGATGACGACGAAAGGGACGCTGCGAGTGACGCGAGGCTCTGTGGCGCAATTGAGAGCACCGAAATCTTGTGACCTGGCGTGGAAATCGGAGGATTGGAGTCCAAGAAGTTAAGGACCTCCGTGTGGGATTGTAGCGTGATCAATACGGATTCGGCCGATGTTATACAACCGCTAGGTATCGGGAATACGGTCAGTAGTCATTCGATGGGACTGGAAGAAACTATGCGATGACAGACCTGCAAGCAAGGCAATCGTTCAAGCTGATCTGGGCCTGCTGGAGCTTCCGCTCTGTGCCCTTGGAAGATGCATTAGTGGATACACTGTTTGCCGAGACTTCGTAGTATGATCCACGGGAGTCAATCACAATTTCGGTCTGAAATCAATACTTAGTGTGAAGGTCCTTGACACGCAACTCGCTGCATAACGCACTGTAGCGGCACCAGGCTCGATGATTTCCTGCGGCTCGTTCACCTGCTCAACGGGCTTGATACATGCTTGAGATGGGGTTAGGAAGTCATTAAGATCAGTCAGTGTCTGCCCTGCATAAATCAGATGTTTTGTAGTTCCATTCGCTGGTGAACACGCACAAGAGCTCCAGAGAATGCCATTCAAGATGAGTGAGAGTAGAGAAGGATCTCATGACAATGTATCACGTAATCCTCTCGTTACCAGTGCAGCATGGGGAAGGTCGGAGAATGCCGTCGGAGTTTGATTGATATCTTGAACTCTAAACATCTATCATCTACATACGCCGCAAGTTCGCCCATCGCTGTCGATAACCCCAATAAAAATGGTAAGCAAGCCCCGTCAAGTTCTCAAGCCATTCTTACAACTCACTTTCTCCAGGATTCATCAAAAGCTCCTGTCAAACTTGCTAAAGTCATCAAGGTCCATTAGATATGCTGACCCCTTGCAAAAATTTTGTACTGATTGCAACTTCTGGTATCAGGTTCTTGGACGCACCGGCTCCCGTGGTGGAGTCACGCAAGTCCGTGTCGAATTCATGGATGACACTACGCGAACAATTATCCGTAACGTCAAGGGTCCTGTGCGGGAGGAAGATATCCTTGCACTTCTTGAGAGTGAGCGTGAAGCTCGGTAAGTTTCAATTTTTGTGTCATGGACTTGGCTGAATACTTTTCATGACAGCCGCTTGCGCTAGATCCCCCACTTTTGCAACGATCCAGTCTTATATGTTCCACATGCTCAATGAGCTTGACAACTTACTATATGGCGGTGCCCGAGTGTAGTCAGCCAATGAAAATCATTTATCGTTCATCCTACTATCTTGGCTACCGCGCGGGAATTTCTCAGTGGTGGTTTACACGCCAGCGGCCACCGGCTCACTACCTCGAGCTCGCTGGCGACAATATATGAATATGAATATTTTACTAGGGTTCGACGTTGCTGACTTTCACCTTGCTCCGTTGCATGTGGGTCATGCCCTTCTTAATGCTTTCAATGTTGAACCACGGGCGAAGAAGGTACGTTCTAAATGCACGTGCTAGTTCTTCCATGAGTGAAGACGATGCTAAAAAGAAAAAGGTAGTCTTATCTTTAGTTTCTCGTTCAATTTGCGCCAGCATATCTGCATTGACGAGCCTGTGCCTTGTAAGTTTTGAAGGGAGGCCATCCATCTCGAGACGGGCCCTGGTGTGAGACCTGTAGACAACACGAGTGACTTCCGTTGGTGTGCCTCCGCATTTCCTGTAGCAGGAGCAGGAGTATGTGTGCCGGTCTGCTGGCATGTTGTTATGATGAAGGTACCAGTGGGATCTGTTGACAGTGAATTTCGTGAATCTGAGGTGTAACTTCGTACTTGGGATCGAAGCCTTGCAATTGGGACAAGTCTGATCATTGTGAATTATATAGATACAAGATAAGACTACGCTATGAAAACAGCCAAAATTGCGTGCATGTACATGGATCCCTCTGTATCTGTGTGTACCATACGCGTGTTGTGGGTTTTGACTGGGCCCTAATAGTAACAGCCGGTTCGATGAACTTCGATCGGACACTACAAGTAAGCATACTACTACAACTGGTACCCTCGACCTGATGTGACAGACGCCCATAAATGTTACACCCCAGCTGGCGAGCAGACGTATGTCCACCGGTTCATATTTTGACTTCTCAGTGCCACAAGAAGCCAGTGGGACGGCCTACAACGTCTTCACCGAGCTTCGCGATTTCTTGGAGTCCCTTACCACCATCAATCCTCTCAAATACCTTCACTCCGCCACCTTCCACACCACCTACGACCAGATACTTATCTTCGTCACCTCCAAACGCCATTCCCCGGACATGAATTAGCCCCGTACGCACTTCGTTCACAAGCTCTGGCTGGCCCTCTCCGGCGGTGAGAGAGAATATTGCAATAGTGTCACCCTCTGAATGAGGGTCGTTTCTGTTCGATGTGTAGATGAATGTTTCAGGGAAGGATGCGTTGGGTTCGGGTAGCAGAATTTCCGCTGCCAACATGTTATCCGGTATCGGTAATGCAGAAAGTGTGAATAGAGATGTAAGAGGAGTGGGGGGCGCCGGAAGCGGCGGGAAAATATGTACAGCAAGCTTTGAGGTGAGCTCCAGTAGCGTGTAAAGGGTATTTCCTGTTATAACAATCAAGAAGGTTTCAAGAGTGGAGGTTAGTGACACACCTCGAGCTGCGACATGTCGTGGGCCACCCCCTGCTTCAAAGTCAATGTGACCGCGAATGGACCACTTGTCATCGTTTCGTTTGGTGAGTCTCCAGACCTTGTCTGTACCTAAATCCGGGATAAGGAGCTCTTTCTCCGTTTGATTCAGTGGATTGAAAATGATTTGATGGGGGTGGGATGAAGATTGACGAGTTTTGTTCCGACCTACATGCTCAAACGGCATCGAAAGCGTCCATGGGTGTGGTGAGAGTATGTAAGGGGCGGATGTTGATATCGGAAGGGTCGCGATTGTGCCCGAGGAATACTAGATGCGGATGCGGATGCAAGAAAGGGAACATTAGAATAGGTAAAGCCGACGTTTTGGTGACTTACATTTCCAATGATAAGCTCGTCCTCTGCGACAAGAAGGCTGCAAGGGTCTGCACCACCACTTTTGGCCCTGGCCACCACTTCTCCTTCTTCGACGGTTCCACCCCTGCCATACTTGATCGCGGCAACCTCTCCATCTGCCTGTTCGAGCCCTGTATATATGAGGGATTTATCGGACGGATGAGATGTGATCCATGACGGATGGTGGCCGACGATTGTTCGAGCCAGAAGATTAAGAGTCGGAGATCCTGTCGACGGTACTGGATCAAAGGACAACGTGTAAATGGAGTCAGTGTATGAAGCGACAAAGATCGTGAGCGGTGCCATGGTTGTCTCGTTTACAGGTAGATCGTTGGTAAAGAGGACTAATAAACTGTGGGATTTCGTGTTTTACCAACGTGATATGCGGTATTTTGTCCCTCGAACGGGACGATGTTCGGAGGCCGACATTAATTGTCCGCGCGCTCAGAGATGGTAGTGTCGTCACCGGCGGCCTGGTTTTGTGTGATGCATAGGCATTTGGGAGCACTGATTGAACATGTTTGATCCCCGCGGAAGCAATTCGCTCCACCTGCTCACGCTGGAGCAAGCCGAGCTCGACCGTAGTACGCACATTCGCATCACCACTGTCAAGAGTGCGATATCGACGAGACATTCGAGCGCTGTTTGCAACAGGAGATGAGGAAAAGATGACGGCAGACATAGTGTACAGAGTCTAGTGTCGGAACTTTTGTTACGACATTTTGATTGATTAAAATGCCTTAATGGTCTGGCCTGATTCTGATCAGATTTTGATCAAACAGTCAGCATTTTGATGACAATTATAAGTGCATTACGACGCACATTCCCATTCCGGTCACAATTGGGTTTGAAACTGCGATTTTAATCATAAGATGGCATTATGACACTGATTCCAATGGTGGTCACAATTAGTGCTGCCGTGGTCCGGTTCGGTCCGGTTCAGAGGGTCTTAGACGAGAACCAAGAACCGGACCATCGGTTCAGTTCTGCAAAATGTCCGAACCCAGAACCGGACCATAGAGAACCGTTCTCTATGGTCCGGTTCGGTTTTTTTGGGGTTCGAACCCAAACCGAACCAAAAAAACAAAAAACTGTAAGAGCATGCAAAAAAACATTGACATAGTACTAAGTAGTCTACATGTTGAGTAACTAATCTAATAACATGGTTGCCCCCCCAATTACCATGCACGAGAGGTATCAGGAGAGCAATTGCGATAACGAGGGGTTGACACAACCAGAAATAGGATAGTGGCAGTGAAGGATGGCGATCATGAGCATGGGTCGAAGATCGACACACTCACAGACTGCGAACAGTGGGAAACAACTTGGATCAGCATGGCTCGAGCTCGAACGAGGATAGAATTAGTACTCACGATCAAGGTCACGTCATTCATGGTGAAGAGAGCATTGAATGTGAAAAACTGGCTGAAAGCAGCCCATTTGCAGTGTCGCCTGAGCCGAAGGATATTGGGAACTGCATCGAAGGCGGGAGATTGAAAAGAGACTGAAGGTGCTTGTTTGGAAGCATGCGCTGAGCGAAGTCAAAGCGAAGTCGAAGTCGATAACGGTTCGGAATGGTTCGGCCTTGCCGAACCAGAACGGGACCGTTTGGGAAGACCTAGAACCGAGAACCGTTTTCCGGTCCGGTTCTGGCTGATGTGAGAACCGTGGACCGAACCGCGGAGAACCGGACCAAAAGTCCGGTTCGAACCATGGTTCTGGACCGAACCGCGGCAGCACTAGTCACAATTTGATTTAAAATGAGTATTGTAACCATTGTTCGGCATCACAATGAGGATCTTAAACTGTGTTGTAAAGGCCAATTTGAGATTGTTTCAGCTAATAAATCACATTGTCGGGCATATATTCTATTCTGAATCTGCAGTAGCAATAACGGTTTGGCGACTCGCACTTTCAAACCTCGCCTCGACTACACACTTCTGCAAGACTCAACTCAATCGCAAACTTCATATCATCATCCATTTCATCTAAATCAAGCGGGCCCGGAAGCTCTTCCTCGGACCGAACATCCATGCATCCAAAAGAAAGTGAGGCACTAGATGTGTGCAAGATAGGTGTGTCATCGTGCGGGGATGAAGATCCATGCGATGAAGGCGGCGATCGTAAGGGTGTGCTCCATGCAGTTGTGCTCTAGGCTGCTGGTCGACGAGGAAATGCTGGAGCTGATTGAGGGGAAATATTCGAAATTGGATGGCGGGCTTCGAGCCGCTTCAGGCAAAAGCCCTGTACCTGACGTTGAAGAAGGCAGGGAGGTAGGTATCCTGATTGGACTGATAGTAACATCAGCTTCCATAGGTTCTGGGACAAAGGCAAAACACACCTGTACTTTCTCATTCGTCATGGGGCGGGCGGCGCGTGGAAAGGCGGGGGAACGATGGTCTGAATCATCAAGAGAACTGGCGAATAATTAGTTGTAAAACATTGATAGCAGTCAGGCAGTCTAAGGCTGAATGGTGAGTGTGATTCGGATTGCTGGGGGGGGGACGGAACATAGCAAGCCTGGAGAGTCGCTAGGAGCGAAGGACTCGACGTAGTCACTCCACATGCTAGAATTGCTGGACCTCGAATGTTAGGTGGACCATTGAAGGCCTCCTGGTCCAGGGGTCTCGCCATATCAGGGGAGTATGAGAGAGCGCAAGGGTGATTCAGAGACAACATGAAACAATTTAAAGAAGGAGATGTTGAGGCCGTGATGATTCAGACTTGCTGTGATTAATATGGTCAGAGGTTGACATGTAAATTCAGATTCCGATGATGTGGCAACTTATTTTAATTGATTAATATTTATTATTATAACATTATAATTATTATACAGCTGCATTGTGAGCATAGGCAGGTGCGGGTGGGACAATATGAATGAAATCCTTGGGTGAGGGTGAACGCGGGAGGGAGGGTAACTGAGAATAATGAAGTGAGAGTGATTCAGATCCCGAACAGCAGCATGATTGTCGTCCATATCAGCGCCTGGGGGGATGTAGGATGAGAGAGATGGCGGTGAGTCTGGCATGGATAAAATGTTCCGAGTCTTGAGGAATATGAATATGTAAAAAGTTTGTCTAGAGAGATGATGCATGGTTTACCTCTGGTATTTGCGCTGATTAAGTTGATGTTGGTAGTGACAGGCCGGTAAGAGTGTGCGCCCTCCTCGATATCAGCATCGGGATGTGTGAATGGTGGGACGTTGCGCACCAGTTGATGATACGATGAACGAAGCCAGCCAGAAGCCTGAAAACAAAGAAGACAGGTTAATCCAAAGAAGACACTGTGTGGAAGATGAGACAACGACACACTGAATGCCAGAGAAAGGTGGGTCCACATAGCGAGTCCTTTCATATCACAGGACTCCATGCCCACCACAACACTGGTCTGCAACAATGTCAGTGGTGAGCGAGGCAAGCTCTCATCGAATGAAACAGTAACTAGTGGCAGACAGTTTTCAAGCAAAGAAGCATGTTGTCAATGGACGAAAGGACTACTAGCTGTAAGTACATAGTATGACTGCACTAACCATTCATGACACCCGGAATTCTGATATCCAAGTCAGTATTACGCAAAACCATTGCGGGAAGAGCGGCAAGGGGCCACATCTGTGCTAGCCACAACTGCCTTGCCTTTTCTCCTCCCCTTTTTCTGCACTGTGACCTTCGTACCTTCACCCTCACCAGACACACCTTCCACAGATGCTACTGCTACTTGAATAGCAGCAGGGCGGGATCGGGGAGCAGGTGCAGTAGCAGGTGCAGTCTGAGGTGCAGGCAATATCGGTCCAGGATGACTACCATTGTTGCTCCAAATGGCAGCAGGTATGGACTGGGATGTGGGGATATGAGTGGCAGACGTGGTGACACTGGGTGTAACGGTAATGCTGGGTGCAGGAGGTGAAGTGGGCAGGGCTGGTGCAGTGGGCAGCGCCAGTGCACTATCATAGATGCCAGATGGGCCAATGCTGGCTGGTGGTGCTGCCTGTGCTGCATTGTTGTCATCTGGATCTGAGTCGTCATCATCCAAGCTGGCCATCACCCGCTGTAGCGAATCAGTACAATCCTCCATACCCGTAGCCTGAGCATTGTCTGCATCACAAGCAGTCTTGTCGATGTTTTCAAAAACATAGTCATTCATGTTTTTCACAATGGCTTGAACACGCGGATGCACCCATTGGGCAACAAAAAACCGCTTGACAGTTCGAAAGACAGCGGAGTAAGAGATTGATGAGGTGGCACCGACACCTGAACCTGGGAATTGCTGATCGGGAGACAGCAAAAAGATCATCTATTGGGGGACGCTGTTCAGTTACCAATGGTCAATACTGGAATATCGGAAACATACCGAAGTTACGCTACATGCAATTAAGCCAGGTGTGCAAGCCTTCAGGTGCCACATCTTATAGTAGGGGCTCGGACCTCCGCCACATCCTGACTTTGAATAGATTGACATCTTGCCGCCCACTGCAACCTTGATAAACTGTTAGAATAGGATGAGTAAATGCTTTGGTAAGTTTATCGTGAACATTGCACCTTCGCAATCATGAACCAATTACCAAATACCTTCTTTGCACTGACCTTCAGATCAGGATAGATGATAGGTGCCTTGAGGACATCGAAGTCTTTCCCCTTGCCTGCCACCTGTCATATCCCGCGTTCCGGACACGGACCTATCACACTCATCATTTCCGGATTTCCGGATCCGGCCGACTTCTATGTATCGTCCGGATCCGACCTGCGTCTAACTTCCGTGCCTTATCCCTTTGGTATTTCCCTTATCAGTTAGTACACTTTATTTTCCGTTCCTTATTCATTTCCGTCTTCATTTTACTAAGTTCCGATAGACTAGTGATAGTCGTCCCATATGTTTTCTTGATAGCTTTACATAGCTTCGCACTGCACTTACTGTTCTCCATTATGTCCTCAGTAGTATATAAACCCCTGTACAATCTCTGTAGTTTCCTCAGTTCGAATATCATCTTAGACTCTGCTCATTCCCTCCTCCGTCCGACTTGAGTTTCTCTCTCGTCGACCTCCGCTCGTCTTAGGATTGACTCCTATAGACTTGTCACCTCCGCCTCTACCTTTGGTAGTCCTCCGCTGTTTCCTTTCTAGTTCGGACTTCGTCCGGATTGGTCTTATCTCTTGTTCCCGAACGTCCGCCGGAATTCCCGCGCATCGGACATTGGACTCCGGACATCGCCCGACGCCCTCCGGACATCGTCCGGTAACCTTCGGACATTGTTCGACAGCCTTCGGAAGTTAGGGGCACGTACTCGGGTAAGGGGCGCAGCGCACGAGCTGAAGCCAAGCCCTTCGGATCCGACCCTTGAGCACGTTCTTAACAGTATATTCGAACTCTCACCTTACCGAGTATACTTACATCTGACTTCATGGCACCTACACGGGCGCAGACCGCTCTCAATGCAGCGGGTGTAGTAACTGCCCGATGCGACTCTACTCCCATAGTCGATGCCTTCCTCAGTTTCTCACAGCGCCGCGCTAGTGCGCAAGGTGCTGCCTCCAGTATCTCACAACTCATGAATCGCCCACATCCGTCTACCCCCACCCCCACACCCGCCGGAAATCTTCCGCACAATGATTCCGACGATGAACTTGCCCTAGGCGGTAACCCGCCGGGAGGAGGTGGCGGAGATCCGGATGATGAACCTCCGGAAGACCCGACTGACGATGAAAACGAAGGTCTTGGTCCACAAGACTTGGTCTTCCTCCGGCTATCCCAAGCCATCAATAACCTGGCGCGTAACAACTGCCAATCCTCCGGATCCGGTGACCCTAAAGTCAAAGTCCGAGAACCGGATACCTTCGATGGTACTGAGCCCCGGAAACTCCGGGCGTTCTTTGTCCAATGTGAGCTTAACTTCCAAGCTAAGCCGAAATCTTTCCGTACCGGCCGAACCAAGGTCAACTTCGCGCAATCATACCTCAAGGGCATGGCCCTTGAATGGTTTGAGCCGGACCTCCTTTCGGATGATCTAGCGGATCGTCCGGATTGGATGGATGACTACTCCGAGTTCATGTTAGAACTCCAAACTAACTTCGGACCTCACGACCCGGTCGGAGATGCGGAAATGCAGCTGGAACAGCTCTATATGCGCGACGGACAGCGCATCAACAAGTACGTTGTAGAGTTCCAGCGGCTAGCTTCCCAAGTCCGAGGTTGGGGCGATGGAGCTTTGCGCCGTCAGTTCTACAACGGACTTCCGGTCCGCATCAAGGACAAAATCAGTCGTCAAGGAAAACCCACCACTCTGTCCCAATACAAAACTCTCGCCCAGACTATCGACGCTCGATACTGGGAACGCAAGGGAGAAGTCTCCCGCGAAAGCAAACCCTCCACATCCGCGCCTCCTGCTAAGCAGTCAGCTTCCACTTCCGACCGGAAAGAGTACTCCGGCGGAAAATCCGGAAATGCTTCGGCTTCCTCCTCCGCCAAACTTCCGGACTTGATGTCCAAGCTCGGAAAAGACGGTAAACTCACCTCCGAGGAACGCCAGAGGCGCATGGAGAAGAAGCTCTGCCTCTTCTGCGGCGGACCCGGTCACACTGCCTGGGACTGCCTAAAGTCCACTTCCCGTGCGGCCAAAGGTCGTGCTAGCACGGTGACTCTGGAAGCCAAACGGGAGGTCTCGGAAGAGACAAAAAATTAGTCCGCAACCTTCCTGACTCCGCGCGGGACGAGGGTTGCGTTGACTCAACCCGTGCAATGGAGCTACATCTCAATGCTATTTCCTTTTCCGATCCGAACTCTTTAGTACCATCCGTCTCTATTTCTACTTTTCCCAATATTTCTCCGTTCCCGGCTCTAGTAGATTGTGGTTCTTCCCATTGTTTTATAGAAAGCAAGCTAATCCGAGAAAATAACATTCCGACCTATGCAATTCCTCCGCTTCCGCTCCATCTGTTTGATGGTACTTCTAATGCCACTATTACCGAGGCAGTAGATTTACCGATCCGGTTTCCGACCGGCATGGTTACCTCCGAAACATTTTATGTTACTCCGTTGGACTCATCCTGTTCCAGCGTTCTAGGATATAGCTGGCTCACCCGACACAATCCGTTGATTGACTGGGTAAAGGGCAGCATCGATTTCTGTCCGATTCCTCATGGAGTGCCTCCAACCCCTCCGACCTCGTTTCCGCCGGCTCCGGCGGAAATCCCTTCCTCAACCTCGCCGAGTCCCTCCGCTGATAAAACCGTTCCTAATATCTCCCTAATCAATGCAGTTGCCTTTTGCCGGGCCTGCAAATTAGAGGGATCGGTCCAGTTCAGTATTTTCGTCCGACCCACCGGTGTCAATCTCCGCTCCGCTACACTTTCCTCCGAACCTCCGAACCTATCCGGAATCCCTTCGGAATATCACGAGTATGCGGATGTCTTTGATAAGGGCAAAGCCAGACAGCTCCCTCCCCATCTTCCCTATGATCTGAAGATCGAATTGGAAGAAGGAGCGGCTCCGCCCCTTGGCACCATCTATTCCCTTTCTCCAGTTGAGCTTGTAGCTCTTCGCAAATTCCTTGATGAGAATATTGCGACCGGACTTCTTCGTTCCTCATCCTCTCCGCACGGAGCCCCTGTCCTATTCGTCAAAAAGAAGGACGGCTCCCTACGCCTCTGTGTAGATTTCCGAGGACTCAATAAAATCACAAAGAAAGACCGCTACCCGCTTCCCCTCATTTCCGACCTTCTCGATTCTCCGAGCTGGGCTAAAGTTTACACTAAAATCGACCTCCGGTCCACATACCATCTAGTCTGGATGGCGGAAGGAGACAAGTGGAAAACTGCTTTCCGGACGCGCTACGGCTCGTATGAATGGTTGGTTATGCCGAACAGCAAGAGCGGTGGTCTGAAAGCTACCCTGCTTGAACCTGAGATTTATATTAGTGTTAATGATAGTAATTGAAGCAGACTTGCTTACATGACGCTGAGTGCTGATCCGACATCATCTGATCGGATTACTATTATGTTGCAGCACCACACCAATACAAGACTGATACATCCTACATCAATTTAGCCTGCCATTCATCTCACAATGACCTGTCACATACCACCGCATACATGCAATTGGGCCCCACTGAGATGCACGCTGGTGCATACTAGTATGGTTGTTTCTCTTTCTTCATCTTATCTATGCTTGGTTCTGGTATACAGGCACCGGTATTTTAATCAAGAAACGCATGCCTCACAACTCGCACATTCTTCGCCTCCACCCTCTTCATCAAACATGTCGACTCCAAAAAGAACCAAAAGCTCAGCGCTACCAGGACAACATGTCACCAATTCAGACTCGGGTCACTTCGCCGGGCAGTGTTTCACACTTGCGAGTGTCGCAGCTCTTCACTGTAGTTCATTCGCACCGGGTCACAGCAATTCAGAAAGGCAAGCTGCTGCCCGTGCATTGCTGAGGCACGACTCGCATTTGGACGGCGCACATTATCATACAAGGACCCCCGCTGGACTTCACCCTTCGTACATTGCATTCAACGAGGCGCTGACATCCCCCGATGAAAAAATGATCACACACGAGGAATTTGTAGAGGCTACACTCCAAGATATCTTTGATGCAGTGAGTTTGTTTTCTTACTTTAGTCTGTACTATTTGTTAAGGACGTGTCCCAGGTCTGCATGCAAGATCGTCTAGACGGTGGAATATCACTTCTTATTCGCTGTCCCGGATCTCATGCTACAAGCACTCTGTCAGCTGAACACGTCGCTGTGGATCTCTACGTCACACCTCGAGAGCTTCATGAGGTCCGCGAACAAATTGGAGGGGATGTGTCTGTCCTGGTGCAGGCTTTTTGTGAGGAGTTCGCAGTACCTCACCTTAAACGCTTTACAGAGCGTTGTTGTATCGAAGGCGTTCAAGCACCTCATCACTGTCTGTTTGCATTTCTAATTTTTCACATTATTGTCCTAACTTGATCTCTACAAAGATCCAGCCACTCAAGTGAACCCAATGGGGCCTCAAGTATTACCAGCTCCACTTGTTCCCACCGGCTCACGCATTCAATGTTCTGCCCGCCCTTCAAAGGCTTTCAGCCATGACTTTGAGACTCACACCATCACCAAGTCGAAGCATAGTTCCAGCGCTCACCAGCAGTCGACAGTCGTTCAACACGCAATAGCCCTTGCTTCGGGTGCTTCTACTGTGCCCACTGGAAGCCCAAAGGCCCGCCAGCGTCGATATGCTGATTATTTTTCGGTTCCAAAGAACATCAAAGATACTAGCACCAATGATGGACCGAAACAACGGACCTCGGGGTTCATGTACTCTGACCTTCCTCGTAAATTTCCTGTTGATGGGCCACCAATAATTAGCATCGGCCCACACACTGATGTGGTGCTTGATCGCTTCAAAATGGGTGATGATGTGATTCCCAAGCTCCACGAACTGATGTCAACTGTACGCAGTAGCCGTTGGGAAGTGATTCTCAGATCTCAAAAATGGGACTTTACTTTTGAGCAAGCTGCCAACCTTGCGAAGGCACTCAACGCTGATCTACGGTTGCAGACATTGGACGTGAATCCTAAGGTGCGAGACCCTTTAAGTTCAGTCTGGTGGTTCACTTACTGAATGACTCATCAGCCGGTATCTGTCATATCCCGTATTCCGGACCTACATCCGACAATATTCCCACGCCTCATCCGGACCTTCGGACGCCCTATCCATGTCTCCAGTCCTCTACCCATCCGGATCCCTGCACCTCTGCACATCCACATCCGCGCATCCATGTCCAGATCCCTTTACCTCCGTACATCACACCTCCATACCTCCGCAGCTAGCCTGCATCATTCATCCTTTGTCCTATTGCCCTAATATCATATCCCGTATATCCACGCTTCTTGTCCGGACATCCGGTCCGATCCGGTCGGTCCGGTCCAATCCGATATATGATAAGCTTCCTAATTCATTTCCTGTGCATATAACGTTGACACAGCCTATTCCTCTATTCGGTATTCCTTGTCCTCGGTATCTCGGTTATACTTACTACCGGTACGCTTACTGATCCGTTAACCTATGCTTCATTTCCGACTCGCGCTTGATAACTTTGCTTATGCTTCATACATAGCCTCGGACGCTTGCTTACTGATCTTTCCGTTATTTCCTTAGTATATAAACTCTTGTATATGTCCTGTAGTTCCTCAGTCTGAATATCATATTAGTCCTTGCACTAGATCTCACTCTAAGTCCTCACATCAGTTCTAGTCTATCGACTTAGTCAATATCCATCTCGGGCCTAGGGAGAAATTCCCTAGGCCAGAGCTCTGCTTATCCGCTCATCCGATCCTCCGAAGTTTACGGACGTTCGTCCGAAACTTTCCCGCGGTCCTCCGGACCTATTCTGCTTCGGACTTTGTCCTTGCAGCCTTTCCTCTGTTTGCTTCTACTTAGGACTTGTCCTAAGTAGCCATTACATGTATCCGTATCAGGATGAAACCTCATTGTAATTTCCGGAAGTTCCTCCGGAACTTTCCCGCACTTGTCCGGAAGTTACTTGCACTCGTCCGGAAAGTCCTTCCGAACTTTCCCGTGCTTCGGACGTCCTTGGACTTTCTTCGGACATCATTCTGAAATTAAGGGCACATACTCGGGTAAGGGGCGCAGCGCACGAGCTGAAGCCAAGCCCCTCGGAATCAGTCCTACCCTTTGTGCACGGTCTTAACAGTATCAATCTTGAATAAAATTTTACACTCGCTTTTGATTTTAGTTTGCCTGTGCGCGCTTTACTTCTTTGGTCTTTTATTTGTCTAGTAATTGCTTGGCCCTGTCATGTTGTTCGGCAGATGTAGATCAATAGCATATGCAATGTTTCAAATACAGCTGAATCTGTCACATGTTTGTATTTTAAAACCTATATAAACTCCCAAGCTAATCCAGAATATTAGGCAACAAGCTCTCAGTCACTCCTTATGTCGAGTGGCGGCAAAACACGCATCCAACCCTTAGGACGTCGCCATCCGAGGGTCAGACTGAGCAAGGAAGTGCGAGCTCTACTTACTGCTTCCCGTCATGAAAAATCACAACGTTTCAGGGCTGCTATCAACAATGTTTGGGCCGGCATTGATGAGTCTGTCAAGACGATCTCGGCCTCTAACCACAAGAGCATCCGTCGGGTACAACGTGAATTGTACATGGGTCAAAGCCTTTTGCGGCACAAGCGCTTGAAACTAAATACTTGGAACGCCTTTTGCTGGAAAAAGAATCAGAGTGTTGACAAGGAAAACGGTACGTTTTTTCTCAGTAGTTGATTATATTCTTATTGACAAATATTTTTCAAGGACCATCCGGCAAGGCACTACTGCCAGAGCTCATCAATACGCATCGTTCAGAGTACCATGCTCTCTCTAACAATGAAAAAGACTCCCTTCTAAAGGAGTACGAGGAACACAGGACTACGAAGACCAATAGACTTCGTATCTCCACAAAGTCCAAGGTCAATGACGTTACTCAGACCATCAAGGCCATCGAGAACGAGGTGCATGTTTCTTTATTCTTGACAACGTTAGCTAACAAATTTATGCAGCTCAATAGTTTAAGGTGCCGGACGGGTGCCGAGACAATACTCTATACGACACGCGGTTCAACTGACCTTCCCCTTCGTGGAATTGCCTTTGCAACGGAGGGTGTCGATGATTTCATGGAGTCTGTGATGAATATAGATAACCAAGAGTTTGTCACCAAGATGGAAGGCTTCGCACTTCGTGGTCTATGTGGTGAGTTTTTTGTTCCTCCTCTAATATGTCACTAATTCATTGCAGGTGCTGCTAAAAATCATCAATAACGCTGTTCTGATCTTCGCAGCGAGATCCGTCACTTAATCAACCATAAACTTCGTAAGTCACTTAGGTCCCTTGAATTTTCACAATCTTATTCATTGCTCGCTCGCATTTTACAGAGCAAATTACGGGGAACCCAAAGGCAACAATGCAGTGGGTCCATTATTGGTGTAATGTTGTTTCACGCTATCAAGTTATAGTTGAAGGGTGGCCCGACGAGATTCCCTTCGACAACCTTAGCAAGGCGGCCAGTGGAATCCCCACTCTGGAGGACCTCAAAGATCAATGGAAGTCCAGAGAAACTGCCTGGAGACAGCTGGACGATGAGGAGTTCCAGGAGCTTGTTCAAGAGCGAAACAGCAAGCTGGGCAGTGGTGAGGTTGTTGAACATTGCCGCCGGCCTCGCTCAGATAAGGGCAAGAAGCAGCGCCGTGCTCTTTCCCCCATTCAGAATGCGACCTCAAGGCCCCGCAAGAAGGCATACACGAGTCCTGCTACTGTTGACAGTGAGGGTGAGAATGATGGTACCCCCGTCTCCTCTCCCAACAACGATAGTACCCCCGTCTCCTCTCCCAACAACGATAGTACACTCGTCTCCTCTCCCAACAACCTCACACTCGACACTGAGCCTCGCAACAATGCACCTGTCTCACAGGCTGGACAACCTGAACTCACTGGCACTTTGTTTGATAGTTCAGGTTCCATTCCGTTTCACCCTTTAGCGCCAACTAGCTCTGACGGACTATATCTGCCTTCGTCGTTTGGTGATACAGGTTTTGTTGACTCCTTCCCTAATTTTAGTTATGAAGAAGCTATCACGAGCTTGAATCGGCTTTTGGGTGGGCCTGCCCCCACTTCTTGAACTACTGAATTTCATACTTGATGAACTTTACACTTAGAGCCTTACACATTTCTGACATTGATTCCTCCTGAGTAGTACCGTATCATTTGACATTATCAATCAAGGCTATCATTACAGTACAAGAGAGGGATACATGACAATTTTTTCCGTAAAAAAAACAAAGCATATCATAAAGTTAGGACGCGCGCAACCTCTAGAACGACGAGCTCGTCTGCACCAGCAAGCAAAGCACAGTTAGTATCGAAGTTGAAAATAAAACAGTATCCGCACCAAGTCCTTAGCAGCTCCTACAACTGGATGTACCCCTGGAAATGCCATGAGAGGCCATGTTGAAAAGAGATAGCGAGGCCCGTATGGTAGAGAACGGATGGGCAAGCGAGACATGTGGGGATGGGTGTAGGGGAGGATAGACAGGCAGACAGTGCACAAGCGCACCAAGGGAGAAATCAAGAAATAAACCTCGGCTCAATGCCGGCGAGGTCGACAATGCACGAGACGTAGGGCAGGCAGGAGAGAAAGAGCTTGATGTTGGTAAGGTCAATAATGTAGAGCAAGCGGGAGAGAGTGGGCTCGACGTACGTTGGTGGGCTCAACGTTGGTGAGCTTAATGTCAATATTGAGGAGGAGGTAGACGCGTAGGAGTGAGAACTCGACACTGGCGAGTTCAATGTCAATGTTGAGGAGGAGTACGTGCAGGAAGGAGAGCTCAACGTTGGTGGTAATGTTGAGGAGGAGCACGCGTGGGAATAGATTATCTACTAGATAGGAATAACGGTTATATCGGAATCACCCGGTGGTGCCAAAAACACTTACCAAGGGTTTTATTTAGGGCAGTATTTAATGCCGGTGTCGATGTATATACAGGCTATTATTTAGAACACTATTTAATGCTGGTGTCGATGTACGTAGCGCAGTATTTAGGGCAGTGTTTAATGCCGGTGCTGAGATTTGACACAATTAACTATAATAAGCCTGGGTGAGGAGCTTGATCACCCAGTATAATAAGCCTTACTTATTGGGCAACCCAGGTGAAACCCTCATACATTAGATGTCACAGTTACAAGTTTCACTATGCATGCACACCTGGCCAGAGCCCCGTGTCATCATAAAATAAGCATCGTGCATGTCGCTGGCGACAAATTGACATGGCCGACATCGCGTGCACACCCCTTGCTTTGCAGCCACTCGCCATGCAGTCCGAGGCATGATTTAGCCGAGCCCAATCTACCTCCCACCAGCAACACTCTGTGATTTCTCTCTTTATAGAATTCAATCGCAAGCGAATACTGCAGTACTTCGCCGTCCACCCTGTCCATAATGTTAGACTACTGCCGATTCAGAGGCCGAAGCGCCACTCGATCGATTCCAAGGCTACCTTCGTCGACCACGACGACTTCTTTGGCACCTCGGACCTTTAGTACTCTAGGGACCAAGGTACTTTCCGTGGGATATAATATCGCACAGCCTATACGCCATCTAATGCTCCAAGTGCGCGTAATGCGTGCAGCAAGTGTCCATGTGTCATCCAAGCCTATAGATACATGAGAAGAGTGAGAAGAACAGATGCAGACAACGTCCATCCCATGCTTCCAAGCTTGCAACATGAGCATAGTGCAGCATTGACCGTTTGTCCAGAAAGTAAAGATGGAGAGGAGCTGCCCCACATCTGTATATTGCGGTAATAAGTATGAACAGTTTGCGGTGTTGCCCAGCTGGAGTCGCCCCCTGTGAAAAAGAGTTACCCTTCAATGCGAATCTGACAAGTATACTGAAAACCGACCTCCAAAGAATGTCCTATATAGTCATGAAGTCAGTAGCAGTACATTACGATTCGCAGAAGAACACGACTCACGAGAAGTACAATCCCCCAATAGTGATATTGTTGACTGTCCTGAAGTATAAGTTTTGTTGTGATAGCACTTGAACATCATTGAAGCTACGACGACGACGACGAACTTTACATCAGGGCTGCCTGAATGATACACTACTTACTATAAAATAATGTTGCCATTCGCAACGAGGGAATCATTGTTCAGTTGCACAAGAATTGTGATACGGCTCCAGCTGCCATCCAGTCGTCAGCGAGTATGTCAGGATAAATAGCCTTGAAAAATACACACTGTCCAGTCTCGAAGCCAAATGATCCTCGGTCGATGCTTACTCCGTAATCAGAGTTGCAAATTATATTGCTATCCGAACAAATGTTGTTAGGAGTCAACATGTATGCATAAACTATATGCAAGACTTCAGTGCTGATACGAGAGCATGACTGCGTTTAAACCTTCTCCTTGCGCATTTTTTCGCCACATGAGCCTGGCGCTGAAACAATTAGTGCCATTCGCTTGCACTCCGCCAGAGCAATCGTCGACATCGGAACCGCCTCTAAGACCAGGAAGTTTTCCCCCTTGGACCCAGTTAAAATTAGAATCAAACGCAAGCTCGTAGGAGAGCAACATGCTCTGAAATTGAGATCCATCTGTTGTATTCCAAAGCGAGTACCATTGAGCACCAGAATCTACACTTCCGTAGGCACCAGCAGCATATGTCACTTGTAAGACGGGCCCAGAAGTATTTGACACGGTCGCACCAGGAGCCGGTGAGTTCGGGAAGGGATCGTCCACGAAGGCAACATTGCTACCGCCATTCTGAATGTGTCCTTTGTTTAACGACCACTGGGATGTAATGAACGACGATGCATCGGATGCACTTTGAGTAGCGGAAGGAAAGGGCATCACGGTACTCGTGGTCAACGAGAAGGACGTAACTACTGATGAGAGAGGAACTTGGCCGGCCGCTGAGACATGAGTGTTTGATAACCGGAGAAAAAAAAGTGTAAGTGACAGAACAGTGAGCATGGGGGTGAACCTGTGTCTGGTGGCTCGGTTGCTAGCAACTTACTAGGTAGTAGGTAGTAGGCCAGCTGTCACCGGGGGAGCAGGCCCAGGCCCGTGCACACGCGCGTGTTGGCCGCATCACGTGACCGCCTCTTTGTGCTTACATCCTGCCTGTGTCCTTGGCAGTGCGATTCTTCCATGTCGAAGTTCAACATCGCCGCTCGCGAACCAAGCGACAATGCTGAGTTTTTTTGTACAATACTACCTGCATACTTATCTGCACTGCCAAGCTGTGCTTGTGACCCGTACTAAGTAGTTAAGGCTATTATAATCGGTAGTTAGCCAAATAAATACAGCATTCAAGTTAAATGATTCAAGTCAAGATCATCCGGATTATTCGTTGTCGCTAGATTCGCCTCTGCATCAAACTTGTAACTTACTAACCCTTTTCACGGTAATTTCTTCAGTTGGCCTATGGTCCTAGACAGCGCCAGATGTTTTCCGCAAACTCAAGAGCAAGAGAGGCAGCAGACGGAGAGGCTAGGCAGCCTCTGCTGAATGCTTCACACGAGGATGTTTCAGCGGATACAAACCAAGTTGTCTTTTCAGTGGATGACGAGGACTCAGAAAGCAGTAGTGGAGAGCTCTGGTCGGCAGTGCGGAGGACAGAACCGGGTGTCAGATTTCAGGAAGAAGTGCAGGTCATTGGTCCACCTTTACGGTCCACAATACAGAGCCGGGAGGCGGGTGCGTATCCTTGTGCTCATAATTCAACGCACCTTATCAGTGCCTGTACAGAATATGAATTGGACTCGGACGACTTTGATGATGCTTCACTAGCTGATATCCAACGCGAACAAAGGCACTCTCGTGGGGCTCCGCGACAAGAACGCACCATGCCTTTACTGGTTGGCCTCATGGATGCTTCGGCTGCAAGGAGAACGCCAGACACAGTTATTCCTATGTATGAAACAGATAGTATGGAGAATGGAGAACTTAGGAACGTAGACCTCGATGACCTTGCTAAAAAACAGTGGTCGGGTGGAGGTCTACTGAACTCGGTTGCCAATATGGCAAATTCAATCCTCGGAGCTGGTAAACTTTTGGTTGCTTAGATGTCCCAAGTGCTGACAATGGATAACAGGAATTATTGGTTTGTCAGGTTGCAATTTCAGCAACAGATTTGGCTGATACTGCGGTAGGTTTGCCGTACGCAGTCAATCAAGCAGGCTTCTTTCTTGGCATTGTTCTCCTGGTCGTCATTTGTGCTGTCACCGATTGGACTATCCGATTGGTTGTCATCAACGCTAAACTCAGCGGCAGAACCTCTTACATCGAAGTCATGAACAGTTGTTTTGGCCCCAGTGGTCGTGCAGCCGTTTCATTCTTTCAGTTCTCATTTGCTTTTGGTGGTGAGTAATCCACATGTACGTCCCTGTATTTCCGATTGATTGTTCCTTCAGGCATGTGTGCATTTGGTATTATTATCGGCAAGTGCAGGGTTCCTGGTGTATTATATTCCTACCTTACATTTTCTCTAGGAGATACGATACCCCATGTCATTCGTTCAATATTCCCTACTTTGCACACGATACCTGTTCTCTCGCTCCTCACCAACCGCCAATTTATCATCACCCTGTGCACAACCTGTGTTTCTTATCCATTGTCGCTCTACCGCGACATCCACAAGCTTTCGCGTGCATCCGGGCTCGCATTAATCAGCATGCTCGTCATCGTTTCAGCGGTCCTGATTGAAGGATCGCATGTGTCTCCCAAGCTCAAGGGCGATCCATCGAAACGCCTCACTGTGGTGGGCTCGGGGGTCTTTCAAGCAATCGGCGTTATGAGCTTTGCCTTTGTGTGCCATCACAATAGTTTACTCATCTACGGGAGCTTGAAGACCCCCACCCTAGATCGGTTCGCTCAAGTGACCCGTATATCAACGATCATTTCACTCGTGGCGTGCTGTACTTTGGCTATATCAGGCTTCTGGGTTTTTACAGATAGAACTCAGGGGAATATATTGAATAACTTCTCCGGGGTAGGCTTTCCTCTACATTTGAATGCTTGACATCTGATATATACGGAACAGAACGATGCGCTGATCAATGTCGCCCGTTTCTGTTTTGGGCTGAATATGTTTACGACGTTACCTTTGGAGCTGTT